CCTTATATCTCTGGGTCTTGATTCTGAACGCTTGTCAGGTGATACTATGATCAAATAAATTTGTATATCTTTTGTCTTTATTAATCTGCCTTTTGTCAGTGATTTTCAGTGAAACTTCAGAGGGCAATAAGGAAGCTTGCTCTTCATCCCTACACAGCCAAGGTTCAGGTTTGATAGACATGGTAACAGATTCCAGGGTACTTGTGTTTATTTAGACACATAAGTATGTATTTAATGACAGGGTCTCACTGTTGCCCAGGCTGGAATGCAGTGGTGTGATCACCATTCATTGCAGCCTCAACCTCCCAGGCGCAAGTGATCCACTTCAGTCTCTGGAGTACTTAGAATTACATGAGCCACCATGCTGAGCTAAGTTTTGTTTGAGACAGGTCATACTCTGTGGCCCAGGCCGGTGTGCAATGGCGTGATCTCAGCTCCCTGTAACCTCTGCCTCTGGGTTCAAGCGATTCTCCCACCTCAGCCTCCCAAGTAGCTCGGACTGCAGGTGCCCACTACCATGCGTGGCTAACATTTGTATTTTTAGTAGAGCCAGAACGTTTCACCATGTCGGCCAGGCTGGTCTTGGAACTCCTGACCTCAAGTGATCCACCCACCTCAGCCTCCCACAGCTCTGTGATTCGAAGCAAAAGTCACTGCGCCCAGCCCAGTACCCAGAGTTTTGACCATCAAGTGGCACACTGAGCTAGGGGGACCCAACAAGACCCCTCACCCCAAGACACCAGATGGGGGCAACTGCCCACTTTATTAGACAGTAGGTGGCCCACAGGTCTCCCCAGGGCCCACCCTCACAGTGGACACACCATACAGGACAACAGAAGGAACCTGCTACTCTGTCCTCTTGTCCCTGGGATCTGGCCCTGGGATGGGTGGGAAAGAGGAAGGTGGGGCTGGCCTCACAGAGGCCTCATAAATACAAGGTCACTGGCCCAGGGATGCAAAGGAGTGGGGCAGCAGGGACTCAGGGAGGGCGAGGTGTCCTGGAGTGGTTCATGTCACGCAGCCTCCTGTGTGGGAGGGGGCCTCGGCTTGGCATCCAGGCGGCATAGGGGACTGTTGTACACCATCTGCAGGTTCACCTTGTGGCCCACCAGCTCCCGGATGTTGTTGATGCAATATTTGATCATCGTTGGGCTTATGGGGGAGGGAAGAGAGTTTACCATGAGGTCAGCACATGTGCTCTTCTGCTTAGTTTTCCATGGCTCCCATCTTCTTCAGAGGAAAAGCTCAAGTTCTCTCCATGACCCACAGGGCCCTGTGCCGTCTGCCCTATCACCTCCTCTCACTCTCCACCTTCAGCCACACTGGCCTCCTCCCTCTCCCAATACACAAGGCACATGCCCACCTTGGGGCCTTTGTACTGGCTGTGACTGCTACCTGGAACACCCTTCCCCAGATATGCTCACGTTTCACCCCTTCATCCACCTCCAGGTTTTGCTATGATGGCACTTCTTCCCTGACACCTTCCCTGACCAAGTAGTTGCCCTAGACCTCCATATTATCACTTACTGTCCCAGTACAGATTTTTGTCTTTGTTGAGTGCGTTTGTTTTTTGTTTTGAGACGGAGTCTCACTCTGTCACCAGGCTGGAGTGCAGTGGCCCAATCTTGGCTCACCGCAACCTCCGCCTCCTGATTCAAGCAATTCTCCTGGCTCAGTCTCCTGAGTAGCTGGGATTACAGGCACCTACCACCATGCCCAGCTATTTTTTTGTATTATTAGTAGAGATGGGATTTTGCCATGTTGGGCAAGCTGGTCTCAAACTCCTGACATCAGGTGATCTGCCCACCTCGGCCTCCCAAAGTGCTAGAAATACAGTCATGAGCTACTGTGCTTGGTCTTTTTTTTTTTGAGACACAGTCTTGCTCTGTTGCCCAGGCTGGAGTGCAGTGGTCCTGGGTTCAAGCAATTCTGCCTCAGCCTCCAAAGTTGCTGGGATTACAGGCACCTGCCACTGCACCTGGCTAATTTTTGTACTTTTGGTAGAGACAGGGTTTCACCATGTTGGCCAGGCTGGTCTCAAACTCCTGATCTCAGGTGATGCACCTGCCATGGCCACCGAAAGTGCTGGGATTACAGGCATGTGCCACCATGCCTGGCCTGTTTTTATTTTTTGTAGAGACAGAGACTTGCTCTATTACCCAGGCTGATCTTAAACTCCTGGCTCAGGCGATCCTCCTGCCTTGGCCTCCCACAGCACTGGGACGACAGGTGTGAACTACCATGCCTGGCCTGATGTACTTACTGGTCTCGCTAGTTACCATTCTCACTCCACTGGGACCCCCGATTCACACAGGCAGTGATGTGACCTGTCATGTTCACAGCACATTCAGTTTGTGCTTACTGTGAAAGTTTTGTGGCCGGGCACAGTGGCTCACACCTGTAATCCCAGCACTTTGGGAGGCCAAGGTGGGCAGATCATGAGGTCAGGAGTTTGAGATCAGCCTGGCCAACACAGTGAAACGCTGTCTCTACTAAAAATACAAAAATTAGCTGGGCGGGGTGGTGGGCGCCTGTAAGCCCTGCTACTTGGGAGGTTGAAGCAGGAGAATTGCTTGAACCCAGGAGGCAGAGGCTGCAGTGAATCGAGTTCGTGCCACTGGCACGAACCTGGGTGACACAGCAAGACTCTGTCTCAAAAAGAAAAAAAAAAAAAAAACGTTTTGTACACTGAATGAATGAATGGGTAGTGCTGAAACCATGCAGATCTGTATGCCTAGAGAGTGGTCAGAGGCAGCTGGACACCCTGAGTTTCCGCCTGGGCACTTACCGCTCCAGGGAGAGGCCCCAGGCAATGACTGACACATTCTCGGGAAGCCCCATGGGCAGCAGCATTTCCGGACGGAACACCCCTGAGTTTCCAACCTCCACCCACTTCTTCAGGCCTGCAGGGGTGGGATAGGGAAGACAGGGCCAGTGCATGTGAGTTTCTGGGCACTGCTGGTACAGGTTCTGGGTCTGGTGGTGAGCTTGGAAGGTGGGTTATAGGCTTGGCAGTGGGGGGACCTGGGCTGAACCACGGTAGCCTGAGAGCTCCCTCCCCATGTCAGTACCAGGGCCCACCCTGACCTGGGTGGTAGCTGAACACCTCCATGCTGGGCTCCGTGTATGGGTTGTAGGCTGGCTTGAAGCGGAGCTGGGTGATACCTGCAGGGAGCGGGGCGGGCAGGCGAGCAGGGGATTGGAGGGTAATGCTGGTGACCAACACGCCCGCCCGCTGCCGCACCACCACCGCCCACCCCTGCCCACCTGCTCACCCAGCTTGGTGAAGAACTCCCGAAGAACGCCCATGAGGTGGCCTAGGGTGAGGCCGTGATCTGCCACCACGCCCTCGATCTGGTGGAACTCAGCCAGGTGTGTGGCATCCAGGGTCTCGTTCCGGAATACTCGGTCAATGGAGAAGTACTTGGCTGGCGTGAAGGGTTTCTAGGGGTGACAGTTGAGCCAGGCTCGGGCATGGGTCAGAAGGTCCCTTTGAAAGAACCCTCTCCCCACTCTGCCCCCCACCTGGGCCAACCGTACCTTCTGAGCAAGGCGGTAGAGCACACGGGCACTGGCTGATGTGGTATGGGTGCGCAGTAGGTTTTTCCGGGCCTCGTCCAGCTTCCAGTTATACTTGTACCTTCAGAAGGGAAGGTGGGAAGTCCATGCAATAGCCTAGGGGTCCCCATCCTCCTTCCCCTCCACACCAGGTGAGTCCTGCCTCACCCCTGTGAGCCGTAGCCGCCCTGAGAGTGGGTCCGCTTGACCCGCTGGACGTAGTCCATTGGGAGCTGCAGGGCCTCAGCTGGATCTGGGGGGGGCAGAGCATCAGGTCAATGAGCATTTCTCTCTTTTTTTTGTTGTTTTTCAGACAGGGTCTCGCTCTGTTGTCGAGGCTGGAGTGCAGTGGTGCAATCCGGGCTCACTACAACCTCTAGCAATTCTCATGCCTCAGTTTTCTCGTGTGTGTGTGTGTGTGTGCGTGTGTGTGTGAGAGAGAGAGAGAGAGTGTGTGTGTGTGTGTGTTTTGAGACAGAGTCTTGCTCAGTCACCCAGGCTGGAGTGCGGCTCAATCTTGGCTTGCTGCAACCTCTACCTCCCAGGTTCAAGCAGTCTTCCTAACTCAGCCTCCCGAGTAGCTGGGATTACAGGTGGCTGCCACCACACCCGGATAATTTTTGTATTTTTAGTTGAGATGGGGTTTTGCCATGTTGGTCAGGCTGGCCTCGAACTCCTGACCTCAGGTGATCCACCCACCTCGGCTTCCCAGAGTGTTGGGATTACAGGTGCGAGTCACCATACCTGGCCTTTTTTTTTTTTTTTTTTTTCCTGAGACAGAATTTCGCTCTTGTTGCCCAGGCTGGGGTGCAATGGCGCAATTTTGGCTTACCGCAATCCTCGCCTCTCGGGTTCAAGTGATTCTCCTGCCTCAGTCTCCCAAGTAGCTGGGATTACAGGCATGCGCCACCATGCCTGGCTAATTTTGTATTTTTAGTAGAAACAGGGTTTCTCCCTGTTGGTCAGGCTGGTCTCTAACTCCCAGCCTCAGGTCATCTGCCTGCCTCAGCCTCCCAAAGTCCTGGTATTACAGGCATGAGCCACAGCATCTGGCCTTTTTTTTTTTTAAAGGGACAGAGTCTTGCTCTGTTGCTTGGGCTGCAGTACAATGATACAATCATAGCTCACTGTAGCCTCGAACTCCCAGGCTCATGCAATCCTTTACCTCAGCTTCCTGAGTAGCTGGAACTATAGGTGTGCACCACCATGCCCAGCTAATTTTTTTTTTTGTACAGATGCGATCTTTCTATGTTGCTCGAACTTCCGGCCTCAAGTGATCCTCCTGCCTTGGCCTCCCAAACAGTAGGATTATACCCTCTGAGCCTGGGCAAGTTTCCTTCTTTGTAAAAAGGGGTACCAGTATGCTTCCAGTAGTTGGCAGAAAGATTACAACAGTAGCTAGCATGTGACAACTGCTTAGTAAGTTTTGGGTGCTATGACAGTGATGACGAGAATGATGTTGCTCCTCCTGGCCAGATGGCAGGCACCTAGTGACCTCAACTGCCCTCTCGGTCAGGAAGGCCACCCACTGTGGAAAGTCATTCCATTTCAGATAGTGCTAAGGGCAATAAAAGAAAAAGATGGGGCCAGGCACGGTGGCTCATGCCTGTAATCCCAACACTT